TTGTCAGGGACCTCTTCAAATTATTGAGGAGAAGTGATGTACATTTGAGGAATAAGGTGCACCTGGTTTAAGCCATGGTCTTTTTCAGTCACTTTCTGTGTACCTGTTAGATGAATGATGAATAAGGATGACAGAAGAATAATTTATGCCTTTGAGTTGTAGTGTTGGGGAAGAGTACTGAATATCCCATGGAGTGCCAAAAGAACAAACATATATACCTTGGAATCCTTGCCTTCAAGGAACATTTTACCCTCTGCAGGATGAACCTGCTTGTTTTCCTAGCAGTCCATTCAATACTGTTCTCTAGCACCACAGCTTGAAAGGCATTAATTCTCCTTCTATCATCCCTAGTCATTCATTGTTCAGCTTTCTGATGGATAGCACATAATTGCAAAGACCATGGCCTGGGTCAGGCATACCTTAGTTTCCAAATTGACATCGTTGCTCATCAGTACTCTGTAGATGTCCCTAACAGCAGACTTTCCCAATGTAATTCACCTTTTGATTTCCTGGCTGCTAGTACCAAGTGTGTTGATTGTGAAGCCAAGCAAACTAAAGCTGTTAACAATCTCAGTCTCTTCACCATGTATCATGATGCTGCCAATTGCTCTAGTGGTGAGAATCTTTGTTTTCTTGATGTTGAGCTTCAATACATATTGAAGGTTGCAGTCCTTGACTTTCTACAGCAAGTGTTTCAGGTCTTCCTCACTTTCAACAAGCAAGGTTATGTCATTTGCATAACACGGGTTGTTGATGAATCTTCTCCAATTGTGATGCTCAATTCCTCCTCATAGAGCTGAGCCTCCCAGATGATCTGCTTCACATATAGATTGAAAAGGTATGCAGATAGGACACATCCCTGGAGTACACCCTTCCTGATTTTGAACCATACAGTGTTTCCTTTCTCTGTTCTGACAACTGCCACCTGGTCTAACCATAGGTTTCATAGAAGCATAATCAAGTGTTCTGAGATTCCAGTTCTTCTCAGAGTTAGCCATACTTTTTTTTTTTTAAGATTTAATGTGTGAACTTATTTGCCACACACATAGAAAATTCTATTTTTGACTGGATTTAGATTTGGAGGTAGAAGCTCTCAGAGAGGACAGCCTCCATCTCTTGGAGATCTGCTCCTGGCATTTTTTTTAAAAAAACCCTTTTTAAAAATTTTTATTTTACTTTTTATGTGTATACCATCAAATCAGATCTGACTGGTACAGGAGAAGATTGCCTCTCCTTCTCCAGCAGACCATCTAGTGGATTCGAACCATATACCTTTGAGATGGCAGTGCAGCTTCTTGCCACCAGGCCACCAGAGCTCCCTTGCTCCTGGCATTTTTCTTTGGTCTCCCTAATTCTCTTGGCCAAAAGCTTAGGGTACTCTGCAGCCTCCTCCTTATTCTTCTTAGTGCACTCTTTCTTCAGTGAAATGCGCAGGCACTTGTGCCGCAGGACATGTGGACTAACAAGACTGAATGTTGGGCACTTTGGTCCTAGGTTTCTTGCCTTGTTTATTCAGTGGCTTTCTCACAACATATTGACGGACATCATCTTCCTTGGAGAGATTGAAGAGTTTGCGAATTCTACTGGCTCTCTTGGGCCCCAGGTGTCGAGGCACAGTGGTATCAGTCAGTCCTGGGATATCCTTCTCTCCTTTCTTGACAATCAAGTTGAGTACACTCAGATTGGCATCCACAGTGCAAGCCCAGACAGATTTGCACTTCCTTTCTCCAGTTCTCTGTGGTCTGTAACAAGAGTGCCCCTTACTCAGCAGCAGGTGAACTCGGACATGGGTCCAGATACCCTGTTTCATGGAAAAACCTTGCTTGTTCCAGACAACATATCCCTTCCATTCGTCACCGAGAGAGTCAGCAGCAACTTCTGTGGCCATTCGTTTCTCAAAATGTATAAGGTTTGCGTTCAGCACCCACTTCAGTGAGTTTCTGTCAGCCAGTGGCTGGGAAGGAGATGTTCAGCTTCAGGGTGAAGCAGCTGATGGCCCCAGCAGCGCCACGGAAAAGAGCAGCCATACTTTTTTGTGATCCACAGAGTCAAATGCCTCTGCACAGTCCATGAAACACAGATAGATACTCCTCTGTTACTCTCTGCTTTCAGTCAAGATCCATCTAACATTAGCTATATTATCCCTAGTACCATAGCCTCTTCTAATCCCAGCCTGCTCATCTGGCAGTTCTCTGTTGATGTTTTGTTCCAGTCATTTTTGGATAATTTTCAGCAGAATCTTGATTGCATGTGATATTAATTGTATTGTTCAATAATGTCAGCACTCTCTCAGATCATCTTTCTTTGGAATGGGAGGCAAGGCATAAAAAAAAAAGAACCCAAAAAATTTCCCCTCAAAAACCCTACCTATCAAAACAACTATGAGATATCATCTTACCCCAGTAAGAATAGCAAAATTTAACAGAATAGCAAACATCAAATGCTGGCGAGGTTGTGGAGAAACTGGAAACCTTATTCACTGTTGGTGGGAGTTTAAAATGGTGCATCCACTATGGAAGGCTGTATGATGCTTTCTCAAAAAGTTGCAAATAGAGATACCATTTGACCCAGCAATTCCACTACTGGAAATTTACCCTAAAGAAAAGATAAATGCCATCCAATTAGATATATGCACACCCATATTTATTATGGCTTTGTTTGCAAAAACCTTACCTAAAAACCTATATATCATAAGTTAATCAGGGGATGGAACCTAATATAAAGAATTATTAGTTATGGTGAAAGAGTATCTAGAAAGTATGAGGAAGCTCAGAATGATGCCCATCGCCACCTGTCTGTCAGTTTGTAGCTGCTTGCATGTTTTAGTGATGCTGGAAGCTGGACACCAGTATTTTAAATACTAGTTTGGCTTTTTGCTGCATGTGGATAGCAGTCTTGATAGGCAAGTAAGTGAAGTTTTTAGGGTTGTGGTTTTTTGGGGTTGTGTTTTATGTGTATTACTACTCTTTTCCCCCTAAAAGTGGGTGTCCTTTAGCCTTTGCCTAGGGTAGAGGTCTGCTCCAAGGTGTGGCTTTATTTATTAATTTTCAAATGAATATTTCTTGAATGACACAGCAATCTTTTGTCTGTTCGCTGAACTGAACAACTTCGTGTTGCTGTGATGCTGCATAATGGTAACCCATTAGGTACAGTGTTTGGATGAGCTTCCAGATTGATTTATGCTGAGAAGCAGGAGTGGCATCCAATTCCTAAACTAGATGCCTCTGGAAACTCTGTAAACTCCACAAACTCTCTAAACTCTATACATGTACAGAAATGATGTTAGTTACAGAACAGAGTTCGTCTTTTGTGCAAAACTTACTCTCAGTCATATTCGTCTTGACGACACTTAACCACTACTAAATGAAACTAGCGCTGTTCTATCTGGAGGAACACTCTTCCACTTTGTATGTAACTCTTTGTCAATGTGCAGTATGAAGTAACCTTGATTGCTTTGATGTTGAAACGTGTACCATTGGGATATCAAATACCAGAATGGTTCCCTAATGTGGACAGTGTTTGGTAGAGCTCTCAGTTTGTAAAACAGGTTTGGAGGCAGGAGTGGCATCCACTTTCTAAACCACATGCCTCTGGAAACTCTATGAACTTGGAGAAACAATGATAGTTATGGAACTACTTTAGGTCTTTTGTTCATAGAGTTGCTAAGAGTCACATTCAACTAGATGGCAATCAACAACAACAGCAGTGTAGGTCACACAAGATGAGACTAGTGGGTAGGACTGACTTCTTGGTATGTGACCTTTCAGGCCAGGCATGCTACGGCCGAAAGGTTATTTCCATGTCAAGGCTGTGAGGTTGCAAAAAGGGTTCAAGGGAGGGCTGCACTGCATGTTTTCACTCCCCTCATTCTGACCCCACGCTGGCCTTTGCTTGACGTTACAGGAAGCTTCATTTTCTGTATGTACCTCCAGCGCCCTCTATTGAGAAACTTAACTCTGTGCTCACCTTAAAGGAAAAAGAATTACATCTTTTATTTTAGAGCAGATTTTCAGAGAGCTTTGATAGTCGCGAAAGTAAGGAGGTGATTACCCAAATGCAGGCGATTTGAATCCACCAGCTGCTCTGATGGAGAAAGATAGGCAGTCTCCTCCTGTGCAGTTTACAGCCTCTGAAAAGACACTGGAGGGTCAGCTATGAGTTGGTTCCTACTTGAGGGCAAATAGCAATACTTAGAATTCCTTCTTTTATTGTTAGTGTATTATTTTACTGTATTATCGACCCATAGCTGACCCTTCCAGCCATTTTCAAAGGCAATGTAAGTGTATTGAAGGAGATAGCCCATCTATTTCCCACAGAGCAGCTGGTGCATTCAAACTGCACGTTCTTTGAGTTGAGTGCAGTTCTTTACCAGTAGGTTACCAAAGGATATCTCACACTGAGAGCTAGTAAATTGACAACTTGGCCTTAAGTTACATTGACCTGTCAGTTCGTGTGCTAATATATAATTGTGTTCATTATTGATGATTCCTCATGTGTTTGTTGATCTGTTAATATTTACCTTCCACATCCAGTTTCTCATTTAGGTTTTTTTTTATTGTGGTTGTTTTCTTATCTATTTAAAAAAATTATTTTATTAATTTTAATGAACATTTACAGAGATTTTGGATTTCTTATCTATTTTTCTGTGAGGATTTTAAAATAAATTTACCTAACTCCAGAATAATAACATCTGGTTATTTTTATGTAGTCTTGTGAATGTATAACAAATTTGTGGGGTAAAAAATATTCCTGTGGTTTAAAAAAAAGAGAGAAAGGGGCAGAATACCATGCCTTCCATTTCTATCCAGCTGAGTAAACATTTTAATGCACATTTTTCTGGATTTATAAGTTCATGCAAATGTGGATATATTTTTCTTAATAAAAATGTTTAAGCTCTCTTAAGAGTTACACTCAACTGAAGACTGTATGTAGCTCTAACTTTATGATTTTTCCCCCCTTTCCAGACACTTTGCCTGCTTTGAGTCTTCGACAATTTTATAATGTCCCTTTGTGCCTCTTCTCACAAGGAGTTTTCTCAGCTCTTACCTGTTGAAGATATGGATATAAAAAACTCACCTTCGAGCATTAACTCTCCTGTTTCCTACAATTGCAGTCAGTCCGTCCTACCTCTGGAGGATGGCCCCATATATATGCCCTCCTCCTATGTAGAGAGCCACCATGACTATCCAGCCATGACATTCTATAGCCCCACTATAAATTACAGTATTCCCAGCAGTGCCAGTAACTCAGAAGGGGAACCTGGTCGACAGACCACAAGCCCAAATGTGCTGTGGCCAACTCCGGGGCACCTATCCCCTTTGGCGATCCATTGCCAGTCATCATTTCTGTATGCAGAACCTCCAAAGAGTCCTTGGTGTGAAGCCAGATCACGAGAACATGCCCTTTCTGTAAACAGGTAAATCCCTTTCTTTATTCTGAATAGTTCATGGTTGCTTTTTGGATTACTTCATAATTTCAACAAAGATCTGCTCTGTAAAAGGAATTTTATTAGTTATGTAGATGCGTATAATAGATTACATACTATATATATATATATACTCATTATACAGATTGCTTTCTCTCATTCCCTGTTGTCCAGTCAGAACTGACTCACAGCTGACCCTTCAGCAGGGTTTGCATCCCATGGGAGGAGATTGCTCATCTTTCTTCCATGGAACTGCCATTGGATTTTAATTGCCAGACGTCTTACAGATTGTCACCTGAGAGACTTTAAACCAGATGAAGCATTAGTCTATTCTGATATTTTCGTTGTCATTAAAGAATTGGACCTGTAAATAGATGTTTTGATGGAGAAGAAGAAATTGAACTTAAATTACTTTTCTTTGGATAAAGGTAGTTGGGTTTGAAAATGAACCTTTAACTTAATTTTAAAGTTAGATTTTTCTTATCTTGTGCTGAAATCACAAGTTAGTGTTCATGACAAATTGTTTTCAGGATACAGATAACTCAGAGTTAATTGAATATTGAAATGCATTCTTTTTGAGGACTGTCATAAAACTTTGAGAAAACAAAATTACACAGTAGTTTAATTTCTCTTCTTTTACTAAGAAATATTTTTATGAAAACTAGAGATCTCTCTGGTGGGCTAGTAGTGAGGAGTTGAACTGTCAACCCAAAGGCAGATGATTCAAATCCACAAGCTGCTTGAAGGGAGAAAGATGGGCAATCTCCTCCCATGTGATTTATAGCTTCTGAGAAACTCCTGGAGGGCCAGCGATGAGTCAGTTCTGACATGATGAATCGTAAGAAAATATAAAAATGATAGCTTTTATAGGAAGATATATTTTGTTTCTGAACATATATTCTAATCAGAGTTCTGTGACTAGTTAGACAAATTGGATGGTAGCATATTGACTTTTATTTAGAAATCAATTATACTCCCCTCACTTTCTTTCCAAAAAAAAAACCATGCCCTGGTAAAATTAGGTATCAACCTCTTATGTTAAGAGCACTCTGGTGGCCTAGTGGTAAAAAGTTGCACTATATAATCCTGAAGGTATGAAGTTTGACTCCACAAGCTGCTCCCCAGGAGAAGGATGGGCAGTCTACTCCTGTGCAATTACTGCCTCTGAAAACCCACTGGAGGATCAGCTATGGGTCTTGACCTGATAGCACACAACATCAGCAGTGTAGTTTAGCATCCATTTGTCACTCCTTTTCAGGTCATTTTCATTCTAGGCTTTTATCTGAAACTGCAGAATAAAGGAATTTATCCACTGTAGACACAGGAACTTCCAAGTTTGCATTGAGGGAGGCCAGACAATGTGTCCTTATGATGCTTTAGGCTTTAAGAGTCCCTGCTTGTGGTGCTGACCTATACGTAGTAGGTCCTATAGTCCTGTCCTCTTGTGCTTATTTTGCTCTTAGAAATGGTTATAACCGACCAGAGTTCAGCAGAACTTCATTGTTGGTCATAAACTAACCTAATCAGTTTAAAAGATCAGTCATTCCCACATTGTGGTTCTTTATGGCTCTGAAAACAGAACAAAGGTTTTGCTTTATCAGATTTCCTGGAATATATTTATCATGAACCCTGACTAGCAAAGATATTAAATTAGGCAATGTTCATGTTATTCCTATTTATTTTCTGAAAAGCTCCTCTTTCTCTCTTTATGCTCTTTCATAATGGATTTTTCTCCCCCTAGAGAGACACTGAAAAGGAAGGTTAGTGACAGCAGTTGCACCAGCCCTGTTACTAGTTCAAGCTCAAAGAGAGATGCCCACTTCTGTGCCGTCTGCAGTGATTATGCCTCGGGATATCACTATGGAGTCTGGTCATGTGAAGGATGTAAGGCCTTTTTTAAAAGAAGTATTCAAGGTACGAGAGTATCATCAGTTGCTTCTTTAGTTTTCATTCCCTTCCCCCTCCTCTTTCAAACAACTTCACAAAGATGACCTGTAAGAAATCTCATCCCTGGTGTGGCACGGAAAGTGTGTGATTGAGGGTGGGTGGGTGGTAGGATGAATTGTTTAGGTTCGGTGCATTTTCCACCTTTATTTGCAAAAATTTGTGCCCCAGAAACCCAGCTTGATTATCTCAGGCACCGCTGTTACTGACTGAGGTGGAGGGGGAGGAGACTTGGCTGCTGCAGCTCTGGTAAAGATAAGGGAGGAAAAGTATGCTTATGGATGGACAAAGAATGTTTCCTCCTGTGATTGATGTTTAATATCTGGCATGCTTAACAGTCATGATGTTGAGGTGGCTTCTGAGCAAGAGGAAAATAAATATCCCTACCTTCATCAGGGAGCTCTAGTGGCCTAACAGCAAGAAGCTGTGCTGCAATCCCCAATGCAAGCAGTTCGAGCCCATCAGCTGCTCTGCAGAAGGATGGGCAATCTCCTCCCATGTAATTAACTGCCTCTGAAAAACCTTCAGAAGGGTCAGCTATGGGTCAGTTCCTACTCTGTGGAACACAACAGCAAACAACTGCTCATTATTGACATGGTGAAGGCTTTGTTGTTGTTAGGTGCCATCAAGTCAACTATAATTCGGAGACCCTAAGAGCAACATATGAGCACCTTGGCCTGTCCTGTGCCATCCTCGGTCTCTGCCATACTCAAGTCAATGTCACAGTCACTGTGGCAATCCATCTCCTTGAGGGCCTTCCATTCTTTCATTGACCTCTGCTTTTCCTCACATGACAGCCTTGTTCCAAAGACAGCATGTCCAAAGTATATGAGACAAAGTCTCATCATTCTTGCCTCTAAAGAGCACCATGGTTGTATTTCCTCCCAGACAGACATTTCTTTTGGTAGGCCATGGGATATTCACTACACCTTATACACGCCACAATTCAAAGGCATCAGTTCTTCTTTGGTCTTCCTTATTCATTGTCTAACTTTTACATGCATATGAAGTAATTGAATATACTATCATTTTGGTCAGGTGCCCCTTAACCTTTGAACTGATATCCTTGCTATTTATAGCACCTTAAAGAGGTCTTTGGCAACACTTTTGCCTAGTATAAACCATTGTTTGATTTCTTGGTTGCTGTGAGCATGAGTATTGTTTGTGGATACAAGGAAAATGTAATAAAATCCTTTACTAATTTCCTCATCTATCATCATTTTCCCTTCTTTCATGATATTGCCCATTGGTCTAGTGGTGAGGACTTTTTTTTTTCATTTTATTTTGACATGTAATCCATACTGAAGGCTGTAGTTTTTGATCTTCTGTAGTAGTAAATGCTTCAAGTCTACTTTCTACAAATAAAGTTGTGTCATCTGCATAAATAAGGTTGTTGGTAAGTCTTCCACCAATCCTGATGCTACATTTGTCTGTGTGTGGTTCAGCTTCTTGAATTATTTGCTCAGCATACAGGTTGAGTAGCTATGGGAAAAACATGCATTCGTGACACACACCTTTCCTGATGTTAAACCGTGCAGCATCCCCACTTGTTCTAGGTTATATGAAAATCAGGATTATGTAAAAATGAAGGATAATCACATCTGATTGCAAAATGGAAGTTGATTCCAAGATTGCATAATTGTCAAACCATTATGAATCATGACCCAACCAATTTGTCACACAATCTTAAACATCACAGCCAGAGTTTCGTTCACCTGCCAACCTCAAAGTTTGTCCCTATCAGGTGTAAAGTGCAAAATAGTTGTATAGTAAATTTTTTACTATGGTTTTAAAGGCAAAATATGTTTGATACTTCAATAATTGATAAGTAAGGACTATTTGTACGTTCTCTGTAAATTGTCAGGTATCTAGGGAACTTTGAAAATGGATCTTTAGGGGTGACTTTCCCAAACTGGTGGAGTGTCTCTTCTTAAATTGGCTGCTTTCTATCCTATGTTTAGACCAGTTCCCTATCATTCTCCAAATTCTACTTATTTTTTAACCCTTTTTTCTCAATTTTTAAATTAATAATTTATAAATTCATATACATTGTGTTTCACACATGTACATTGTGTTTTATACAGTCTTTCATTTACGTTGCATTTCATTTATGTATATTGTAGACTTCCTTCCCTTACAATTATCTTACTAATAACTACATTTGTGATTTTAAACCCTTTATAATTACCTTCATTGTAGCAGGAATGGCATCCACTTCCTAAATAACATGCCTCTGGAAACTCTATGAACTTTGATGAATGTCATTAGTTGTAGGTGGGCTTTAAGCCTTTTATTCATAGAGTCGCTGTGAGATGTGCTCCCCTTGATGGCAATCAACAACAACAATTATCTTCAAATTGTGCACATATGGTTTCCTGGCCATATGCACATGTCCTTGTAAGTTTTCATTTGCTCACGTCACACCCTTGCTCTCATTTGTGTCTGTGGCCCATTGTTGCGATCCTCAGCAGCCCCTTTCTCACACAATGTCTTACGTTGTCATCTTAGAGTTCTTTCCCCTTCTTCAAGGCAATGTTTTCTTCTTTAAAAGTAGTGTAAGTTAAGTCATTCACTGGTAACTCTAGGTTAAATTAATGTTTTTCTCTCTGTGCTGCAAACCTGAAGGCACGTGGTTCAAGGCCACCAGCTGCTCTGTGGGGGAAGGGAGGGACAGTCTCCTCCCGTGTGATTAACTGCCTTTGAAAACCTGCTGGAAGCTCAGCTGTGAGTTGATTCTGACTCGATGGTACGCAACAGCAGCAACAGGGAAATAATGGAGTCCAGAGAATTGTGAGGATTAAAGTGTTGGTAGATAATGACTCCTTTTTCTGCCAACAGCTCAATTTTGACCCATTGACCCTCTAGACTAGAGCTGCCCCAGAGATTTCCCAAGTCCAAAAGCACACCGCCTTATCTTTCTTCCAGGAGTGGCTGGTCGGCTCAAACTGTCAACCTTTCAGTTAGCAGCTGATTGCTTAACTACTTATGCCACCGAGACTACCTATTTTGCGATGTATCCCCTCACACTCACTGTATATACGTGACCACCTGTCTCTCCTGGATCCTCCACTTCTTAGTTCTGTGACTTCATATTCTGATTTATTTTCTTCTGTGAAATTGAGGTACTTATAGAGCTTTCTGAAGGTGAATGGAGACTACTTATATGAAAATATTTGGTCAGGTATTAGTAGACGCAGTTGAGTCGACTTCACCTCATAGTATACTTATTTATAAGAGAACAAAGCATGGCCTCATCTTGCACCATCTTTGAAATCTGTACTGTGCTTAAGGCCATTGCTGTAGTCACAGTGTCAGTCTACTGTTTGAGGGTCTTCCTCTTTTTTGTTGACCTTTACCAAGCATAATATTCTTCTCTGGGGACTGACTCCTCCTGATAACATATCCTAATTACATGAGGGGAAGTCTCACCATCCTTGATTCTAAGGAGCTATTTAGCTATTTGTTGTTTCTACAAGTCCACAGTACATTCAGTGTTCTCTGTCAGGGCCACAATTCAGAGGCATCAGTTCTTCAGTCTTCCTTATTCACTGTCCACATGTTCTGAAGCGATTGAAAGTACCATAGCTTGGATCAAGTATTCCTCTTAGTCCTTAAAGTAACATCTTTGCTTTTCAGAGCTTTCAAGATGTACTTGGGAACAATTTTGATCATTCATTAATGTACCATTCATTAATGCCAGTTTGTAGACTGTGGTGATGTGGTGGTGTTGGAAGCGATGCCACTGGTATTTCAAATTTAATCAGTATGGTTTTTCTCTTATTTCTATTAGTGTGGAAGATTATGCTTCTCACACTGTTGCCTGGAGCAAGAAAACCATTTTAATACTTGAGATAGTAGGTGCACTTTGAAGATTTTTTTTTAATTGTTGGCCGGAAGTGAAAAATTACCATGACTTTCTCACATAAGATATCTTTTTAAAGCTATTTTAATTTAGCATGCTCACATGATTGTCCTTTCTGATCCTTGTTGAATGTGAAATTATCTTTTAAAATAAACCCTGAAGGAAAAGTAAAAAGTGAACTGCTAGCTGACCCCCAGAATGCTTATCACTATAAGCCAGATACTCTTTTTAAAAGTAAGGATGTTATTATGTATAGTTTTTAGAAAGTAACTTTAAAAAGATTGCTACTGGTGTGAAAATTCCTATGGGATTGCATTTCTCAGCATTATCTCTTATAGTCTGATTAAAGTTTCTGATTATGAATATATTTCAGCTTTTACAAATTTTAATTCTTGTTGAATACTTTAAAGGAAGATAAAAGAAATAACAAGATAACTACTTGTTCCTTGAAACAGTTTAATACCTGGTTTTTCATGCTCTCTACTTTTCTAGAGTGTGACCCGTACTGGTGCCCATGGAGACTCTGCCTTCTTGATTAGGTTATGGTATATGACAAATAGTGAAAGGATTATGCTATGGTTTATAATAAGATTTTTGCAGCTGACTGCATGGTGATTGAAAATCAGAGCATTGTATTTCTGTTGACCTGGGAAAAAAGCAAATATCCACTTGTGAACCGAGGGGAGGAACTGCTTGTGTCTCCAGGAGCAATAGCTGCAGCTATTCAAAGCTAGCAAGAAAACAGGCACTTCAATCCAAAAAGCCTGTCATTGCAAGGAACAATAATAACCTGAATGAATTTGGCAGACCTTGAGTCAGCTGATCGTGCTGACACCTTGATTGCAGCATGGTGAGACCCTGAGCAATGAACTTAGAAAAACCTTGCCTGTAACTCTGGAGATCCATGAATAGATACTATGAGATAATAACTTTGCTTTCTTTCAAGCTGCTAAATTTGTGGTAGTTTGTTATGCAGCATAGAAAATGAAAACATTAACCTTAAGCAGATTATTGAACTGTGCTTAGGTTTTCCCATTTCTAAAATGAGGATCATAGCTCTTCACAGGGATGCTTACAGAATTAAAAGAAACATTGATGAGAAATAACTGGAAATCACATAACCAAAAATGTTGATGTACTTCTCCTGGTTGTTTTCATTCTCTTCTTTGCTTGTCTTTATGTATCCAAGCTGAGCCAGCATTGTCTTACTACAGTGACCATTATTTTGCTTGATTTTGGTCTGTGTACTGGTTAGTGTCACCTACTGCATAAGATGTGGCTTCACACCAGGCTTTGCATTGGGTTCAGGGCTGCTTCACATGTATTTTCCTTGGACCCGTGGCTATTCAAAGTATTTCATTCTAAGAGCTCAATAGATAAAGCCACACTGTTTAGGTATCGTATCAGCTGACATTCTATTAAAAGCAAATCACGTGGTCAAACACCTATCAACTGGTAGAGAAATATACTCTGCTCGTTTTGGTATAGTACTTTGCTTTATCTTCCTGAGCTGCCCTTTAAAATCTTCTGTTCAGCTCTTTTACTTCAACATTTTCCTTTTGCTTTGACTTCTCGACGCTCTAGTGCTTTAGAGTCTCTCCGCTGTTTTTCTAGTGACCTTTTGCTTTCTTCATGGATGATATCCTTGATATCGTCTTGTGTGTCAGGAAGTGTGAGGATGACGCAGGATGGAACAGGGTTCAGATGTTTCATTCATAGGGTCGCTATGAGTTATACTCGACTCGATGGCACCTAACAGCAATACCATTTTGGTATACTTCATGGTCCTGTGGCTGATGAGCAGCTGTTGTTAGGGCCATTGAGTCAGCTCTGATTCATTGTGATGCGGTCTACGAAAGAGTGGAACCTGCCCCATCTTTACAATCTCTGCTGTGTTTAAGCCGCTTGGAACAGACACTTTGCAAACTGTTTCAATGAGTCTTCCTTTCCTTCACTGAAATTCTATTTTCCCTGAACATGATCTCCTTTTCCAAGAACTATGTCATCCTGACGACATATCCATAGTATGTGAGCCCAAGTCTCATCATCCTTGTCTCTAAGGAACACAGCAGCTGCATTGTTGTTTTGGTTGTCCATAGCATATTTTTGAGAGCAACAATCTACTGTATCTCAACTGCGTTAAGTTGCTCTGTTTTGAATTCTTTCCGTTCTTATTTAGAGGGGTAACTTCTTTGTTCTTTGTGATTTGGTTCTATTTTACTTACGTATTTAAAAAAAAATCATGGGAGTTCTGGTGGCCTAATGATAGAGTTGTGCTTCAAACCCAAAAGCAGGCAGTTCTAATCCCTGAGCTGCTCCAGAGGAGGAAAATGGGCAGTCTCCTCCTGTGTAATTCACAGCCTCTGAAAACCCAACAAAGTGTCAGCTACGAATCATTTCTGACTTGACAGCACAAAACAACAAAAGAAATCACATTAAATCTCAAAGCCATGTATAAAAGATATACGAAGCAGAATATAGTGACTTGATACACTAGTACAAAACTGTTTTGAGAAATGTTTTTGTAATTGTAATTTGTTGTTATTAAGTGCTGTCAAGTTATAGATGACTCATAGTTACCATAAGAATGAAAGACCTTAACACTTGTATAACTTGCATCATTTCTCCACATTCATAGAGTTTCTGGAGGCAAGCTATTTTGGAAGTGGATGTCACTCCTGCTTCCAAGCTTGTTTTAATCGGGGAGCTCCACCAAACACTGCCCACCAGGGGTAACAATTATCACACTTGACACATCAGTGTCACAGTGTTTAGCATCACAGCAGCCAGGAGTTACCTCTGTACAGCAAATGGACAGATTGGTGCTATGCCACTTAAAGAATGTTTGGTCAAAAACAATTAAAACCTGAGGGCTGCAGATTAAAATCACCCACCTTTCGCTTGGTAGCATAACTTTCTATCCGCTAGGCCAACAGAGCTCCCTCGATGTTGTTGTTGTTGTTAAGTGCTGTGTAGTTGTAGGCGACTCATAGCGACCCTGTAAATGAAAGACCTGGACACTTGTTCAACTTTCGTCATTTCTCCACGCTCGTAGAGTTTCCGGAGACAAGGATAGGATTTCATTCATTCATTGATATACATTTTCCTCCCTCCCCCTCCTTAAATTCTCTTTATAATGCATGTCTTGTTCCAGAATGTCAATTGCCATAAACACAATGTCTCATTCTTCATTATTCCCTTCTCCCATTCCAGTGCAGTGTTCACTATCTATTCATTCTTTCCCTGCTCTCTTTCCCCATGCCCATCTTATATTTAGAATAGTTGTCCTACGCAGTATTTGTTCTTTTGTGACTGAGATATTTTACTTAACATAATGTCTTCCAGGCTTGTCCACATTGTGTAGTGTTTTACAAGTTCATTGGTTTTGAGTGCTGCATAGTATTTCATTGGGCAGATGTACCACCGTTTTCCTATCCATTTGTTGACACACACTTGGACTGCTTCCATCTCTTTGCTATTGTGCATAATGCTGCAGTAAACATGGGTGTGCATGCATCTGTCTGTAACATAGCTCTGGTTTCTTAACAAGTACAATTCTTGAAGAGTTCTCTGATTTAGAGCCATTGTATGTGATTATTTCAATTTTCATGTCTAAAGGATGATCTTTTTAAATTCTTGAGAATTCTGCAAACATACAGAAAATAACCAGCTGATCCAAAAGTATGTTACAGAAATATTGCTAAGTCTGTTTTACTCACCAACAAATCAACAATGATGGATAACTTTGGCCCTTGTACCTGTAACTGTCATCAAGACACCCACCATCTCTCCACTGTGTAGAATTATCAGTATTGTTTACAAGAAATAAACCTAACCAAATGTCATAAAAATAAACTTCCTTATATTTCTTCTGCTTTAGGACATAATGATTACATTTGTCCAGCTACGAATCAATGTACAATAGATAGAAACCGGCGCAAAAGCTGCCAGGCCTGCCGACTTCGGAAATGCTATGAAGTAGGAATGGTGAAGTGTGGTGAGTTCCCGTTCCCCTTTTACTGTGTGTGGGACATGCTGAGAGCTGAGCCTTCTCAGGATTGGTTTGAATAACTAGATATGCATCCTGGAGGAGAGGTGATTTTTTGGATAGAGTAAATATCTGCAGATATTCTTGTGTTGTCATGTGGGATGGGGGATTCATTATAGAGGACACAACTGAGCTGAATGACACGTTACAGAGAGGTGATTCTTAGCCAATTATGTTGAGGTGGTCAGGCAAGTGGAAAGGCTGTCACTGAAATACTTAAGCAGGGCTGGATGACCATCTGTCTGAGACTCTGAAAAGTCCAGTTCTAAGGATAGTGTCCTGAGGAATGCCTGCAGATAAAGCATTTGACAAGAAAGACTGTCTTAGGAGATATCTGTGTTAATGGGGAATAGAATGATCACCACTCCAATACATTTCTGAAAGTGGAAAAATATAATGGACTCTCAAAAGCACTTAATAGGACAGATTTTGTTCTATATATTGTGCACACACACACAAGCAACAACAACATCAAAGGAAAAGAATCACTTTAGCATCAGTAATTTCTACCATTAAATTGCAGTAATCAGGCCAATGGATTAGCTTTGGTTTCACTTGTCTGCATGCACTTGTGTCTTTATTTGCACCTATACGAGCTTTTGTTCATTTGTGTTCAAGAACTCAAATCTGTTCTTGAGGTGCTTTTTAAATACAGGTGGAACAGACTCAAAGTCAAATTTCGGTTCCTATTGATTTGATTTAACCATCTTTAGGTTTATTTTGAACTTGCATGTGAGTAGTTGATGGTCTGTTCTTCAATAAGCACCTGGCCTAGTTATCACCACTGATAATGAGCTTCCCCAATGATTCTTTCCACAAAGGTAATTGATCTGGTTCCTGTGCATACCATCAGATGATATCCATGTGTATAGTCTGCGTTTATGTTTCTTATACAAGATATTTATAATGAATAAATCATTGTGCAAAATTCTATCATTCTATCTCCATCCTCATTTCTTTCACCAAGTCCATGTTTTCCGACTACTGATTCTTCTTCCCTACTCCCAACTTTTGCATTCTAGTCACCCATTATTATTAATGCATCTTAGTTGCATGTTTGATCAATTTCTGACTGCAAAAGTTGGTAGAAATAATATATTTCCCCCTTTTTGGCTCTGGTTGCTGTTGCATATATTTATTTGAGTCATAGTGGTATTCACCAGACTTACTTGTATGTGTATGGATATTATCCAGTGTCACTCACAACACTGCATTTCAAAATGGATCTAGAAAGGACCTTTTAAACTATGAAAACAACCCTGTTTTTCCTCACTGGCATAGAAGATCATATGATCATCTGATTAAAAATATCCCATACCAGTCCATCTCATTTGCCAATACCCAGTATGTCAATATTTGTGTGTTCCATTTCTTGTGGGAGGATATAAAGAATATCTATTCACAAAAAAATGCAAAAGGTCATTACAAAGACAAAGGAGGAAGAACACACTGAGGTGGATGTCAGAAGAGACTCTAAATATTGCACTAGAACACCAAAAAGCCAAATCCAAGGGAAGAAAGCAGGAAGTTAAAGAGCTGAACAGAAGATTTCAAAGGGTAGCTCGGGTATACAAACTAAAATACTGTAATGAAATTTGCAAAGAGCTGGAGTTGGAAGGATCGAACTTGCTTGGCATTTCTTAAGCTGAAGGAACTAAACAACAAATGCAAGCCTCGAGTTACAGTACTTAAGGATGCTATGGCTGAATATTGAATGATCCAAGAAGCATTAAAAGAAAACGTGTGAATATACCACAGCTTCTCTATCCATTCATTTGTTGATGGGCACTTAGGTTGTTTCCAAATCCTTGCTATTGTGAACAAAGCTGCGATCAACATGGGTGTGCATATATCTGCATGGATGCCAGTTATGGTCTCTTTGGGGTATATTCCCAGTAGTGGAATTGCTGGGTCAAATGGTGTCTCTATTTGCAACTTTTTGAGAGAGTGCCATACTGCCTTCCACAGTGGTTGCACCATTTTACACTCCCACCAACAGTGAATAAAATGGAAGGAATATACAGGGTCACTGTACCAGAAAGAATTGGCTGACATAGAAGAATTTCATGAAACCACATATGATCAAGAGGCAATGGTGATGAAGGAAGTTCAAACTGCTCTAAAGCAATTGGCAAAAAACAGGGCTCCAGGAACTGATGCAATACCAGTTATCATATTTCAACAAACAGATGATGCCCTGGATGTGCTTACAAGGTTGTACCAAGAAATCTGAAGGACAGCTACCTGGCCCACTGGCTGGAAGAGATCCATATTTATTCCCATTCCAAAAAGAGATGACCTGATAGAATGTGGAAATTATGAAATAATATCATTAATAACAATATCATTGATTTCACATGCAAGCAAGATTCTACTGAAGATTATAAAAAAATGACTAGAACAGCACATCAGCAGAGAATTACTGGAAGTCCGGGCTGAGTTCAGAAGGGGTCATGGTACTAGGGATATTGTAGCTAATGTTAGATGTATCTTAGCTGAAAGCAGGGTATACCAGAGGAATGTATATCTGTGTTTCATTGACTATGCAAAGGCATTTGACTGTGTGGACCATAACAAACTGTGACTGACTCTGAGAAGAATGGGAATCCCAGAACAC